TAACTGTAGGTACTTACTGGGTTTTCCTTTCCAGCTATTTGTCCTGAAGCCACCCAGTTCTCCGAAGGGTGTAGTTCGAGGCTGCAAATAAAACTCGATGTTCAATCCTTTTCAGTAACATCTATATTTATCTTTTATTTTAACACGAATACCTTCTAAATACAGAAGAGGTCCTACCATGAAATGTCTTCCGTGTGACCCAAATAATGTCGCTGGGTGTCTCCCCTTTCGTCATTCCTTCTAAAGAAGACGGCGACAGCCGCTACATAATACAGAAGTTCGCCTGTTCTAAAGACGACCACACTTTTACAACCCTCACGTGCATGGAAACCGTAACTAAGATAAAGGTCAAGGTCTACTTAAGCAATAATATAAGTTAGTATTTTTTCAGTATGGTACTAATCTTTATCCATTTATCCAGATTAACGAGATAAGGATACATCCATTCCAATTTCAGCTTTTTGTCGGGTCGTTGTCCATCATCGTCAGGATAGGTAATGGAGGGTGGGAAATATTCTGAATGCCAAAACAAAACGTATTATTATGGCTAAAATTCAAAACATGTTGCAGAAAGTTTTAAATAGTCAATAACGCATTAATAGATGTATATTTTGGAATTAGCATTTTTCGAAATAATTTTGAAAGCATGGGAATCTACGGGGAAATTGTTTTTTTCTTCAATACGTTTCATAACAAAACGTTAATTACAAGTTATTACACATATCATTGCTTAGAGGAAGTATGGACTATTAACCTCTGACTCTGCCTCGTATGGTGAACTTAACGCTGTCGTCCTCCTCGCTGTGTCTGGCTGAGATTGGTTCCTGATACCCGTTAACAGGTACTCCATTCAGTATACCCTCCTGAGGGGAGGGAGAATGCTGCATGCCATACTCATCAATTTCGTCCAACTCTGTGTAATATAATCAAGATATATTGCAAACTATATTTAAATGAAAGTTCTATGCATGATATGTGGTTTTGAATAGACTTAATTTCCATGGTTAAAATTTCAAAGCATTGTGCCTTGAATTTGATCGGTACATCAAATTTTAATGCTACTCCATAAATGCTCGTAATATAGTGAGTGTATTTTGTTGTTATTTTCCGAATCTTTTATTGAAATTCTTCATTAATCTATTAAGATTTACGATATATTGTGCTGTGACATTTTGCAAACAGATTTAGCTCCAAAGTGGGAATAGGAATGTAGTACTATTACGCTCTCTTCCTCTGAGAGAGAGAGAGAGAGAGAGAGAGAGAGAGAGAGAGAGAGAGAAAGAGATACTTCATATATGTGTTACCTCCATCGGTTGCTTTGTGAAACTTTTTCATTCGGCTCGCCACACTCATAGAATCACTTCCTGAGTTGCTGCTTGGAGCAGGACGTTTAACATTTTCTGGTTTTAGAGGTACCAATTCTGGTCCACAGGCAATAAAATTTTCTTGGTTTTTAAACTCATTGAATAATTGGCTGAAACTCTCAACCTGTGAAATGGTTAAGATTTAACAAAAGCTCCTCTCATCATAGGAACTGCATATACAGAATCTCCATAACATACTTAGACTAGAAGTGATAGAAATGAATTCATTCTCATAGTCCAAAGTTATTAACTGTAGATCACTTTTTCAGGAAGATATTATAAACTACCTACATTTTGCCAAATTGATGTAAAAAAGTCTTTGAAAATGAATACATCATGAACGTTAACGTTGTTCCACTATATTCTGTAAATTTAGAATTTTATGAATATTCAGAGCTAGAATTAAGTGATGATCTCAATAGTATATTTACCTTTCTATGAGGTTGTTTTTCAGTATACAAAGCATGTATATCAATATTTGTCATGTCCCCCATGGTAAGCAGTAAATCCTCAAAGTTATGCCTAGTGTTGGGATTAATGTAGAACTTCTCTCTTTTGTCCCTATACTCATTATTTATAACAGTGATCACTCTGGGCTTATTTTTAGGAGCGTTTTTCGGCGACTCTGATCTTTTGAATAACTCGACTTCACTCTTTCGAACACGACCTCCCGAGGGTTTACGATTGTTCCAAAACTGCTCTCTGGATTGACCATATGGGATGTCAAGAACAGGCTTTTTAACTGAGGACACAATGTAAGACCTCCCTTGCTGAAATGTAGTCACACTCTTAATTTCTTTTCCATCTGGTAAGGAAAACACATACCTTACTCCAGACGTTGTTTCAATTCGATCATTCAGATATACAAGAAGTGCCTCAAAGTTCAGGAATTGTTTAGGATTAATGCAAACATTTACTCCTTTGAAATCTTTATCCCCATTCCTAAAGAAGGTCACTCTCTTTCCCTTCCTGTCGGTTGTTCTATGTACTTCAATTTTTTCGTTGAAGTCTGAATTCATTTTGGACTGTTCATATCTTCCCATCACGAATGGGGGATACTCCCTGAATGTATCGGTATGAGGCCTTTGTGCTGGGTACACCTCATATTCATCGTCACTGTAGACTGGAATTTCACTCTAAAAAGGAAAATGCCAAGTCAGTCACGAGGATAAGGTATATTCTTCTGCATTCCCTGCATTATTTCATGCCTTTTGTGTAGAGGAATTACTGTATGCATTATGCAGCTAGTACGATATTATAGTATGCCATTGGATAAAAGTTTATGTCAGTGGCTGGAAATTACTTCTGTTTTTTTAATCTCTCTTAAATATATTTTGGAAGTAATCTACAAATAATCACGCTACATCTGACAAGGCGTAACTGAGAAATGGATATTTTAACTGCTTTGTAAACTGTAGGGTAAGTCCAATTTCTGTTATTTTTTATCTTTAACTAATTATGTCATGGAAATAAAATTAAGGTGTTTCTACAAGGAAAATAAAGTCAATCCTGGATATATAATTGAAGACATTATTAAAATAGTTAACACTGAAAGACTTAGGGATTTTTCTTAACGATTGGGAATGATTCTTTTTATCGGTTTGGGATTTTTTTTTAAACTAAAAGAAATTGTGGATTTCAAACGGAGCATGAATGGGTACTGCCATTCGAATGATGCGATTTTTCTCCTGAAGTTTTTACCAGTTTTGCAACTACATATAAAACATGTAACGTTTTTCATTTTTTTCTACCCAACAACAAATATACTTTGAACATAAATTGCTGAATAATCAGTGTAAACAATAAGCATGTGACTGTTGCTGCATGCAAATGCCATGCAGATTGTCATTTATCGTGCCATCGTTTTGATGGAAAAAAAAATTATTTTCATTTTTTTTTTTTGAAAATAAATTATGTCAGTTTTAATCACAAATAGAAAAATTAGTAATTCTGGATATTATTTTAATAGAATGCATTCAAAATTGTATTCGACTCCGGGTTTGGGAGTTAAACTTATGTTCAAACTGCCTTGGCTAACATGAAGTAACATGCATCTGAATATTTTCTTCGTTCTGTATATATTTTTTTTTTTAATAGATAATTGTTTAGGAAAAGAATTAGCTCTTTTAAGAGATTATACTCATCAAAGAAGCATTTTTTACCCAGATAAACATTTCCATCTACGATGGTATGCATCTTTTCAATACTTTTAATTGCTGTACCCTCTTAATTATGTTCGTAACCAAAAGTTTACTGAGCGAGGTTTTCTTGATTTAAAGTATTTCGCTACACATTGGACTCTATCAAGAAATATCTTTGTAGGCAATAATATTATTTTGAATGAATAAAGATGATATTTTGCCAAAGAAAACCTTCATCCTTATTTCTAAGGTAAAAATATCCTTTTTAAGAGAAAAATAACAAAGGTAAGAAATGTCGCTATAGAAACAAATTGTATTCTATTTATAGTAGTACATATTTAATAGAATTGGTTTTCAATTTAAATATTTGAAAATCGTTGACTTTGTCAGACTTTGAGATATTCGGAGTAGAATAATTCTATATCAGTGGGATTAAGAATAGTATCCCGTATTTCATTGTTTTTACAATCTGCTGAGGAAGCGTTCAATAATACATGTTTTTGAAAATATTTACTATTCCCCAGTAATTCCAATTTTACGTTGCTCGACCCTTTGAAAGGTTCCAACTTTTGATCTGTGCACATTCAAAAACATCTACTGATTAAAAAACAAAATAAAACTTAAAACAGTTCCATGGGGACTGGGTTAAAGACAAGATTTCTGTTACATTCATCAGCTTAAATCCAGCGATGCCCACGACGAATTCTCAAAGTGTCGCATACAGTATCATTTAGATTAAACATCATTTTATTTTTTGATGTATTTCTCAATAACGTATATAGATTATAGAAAGAACCCGGCCTTTTACAGAACCACAGTGTTTTATAATACTTAAGTGAAAATATATTGAAAACCATAATTAATACCATAATAATAATTAATATATTTGAAATGATTGAATTCATTTAATGATTATAGACTTTACAGATCTGTATTTTTTCCTTCTATTAGGGTTAATTGGTTTTAGACTCTTCTACGAGTTTGCCTCAGGTACAGTCATTTGAGAGTTCAGGAGAAAAACGAAGGTATTGAACGCAGTTAAGTTGAATGTATTTTTTTAAACAAGCACTATAGGGTTTTATCATTGATCATAGTGCTTTTCTTATTTTCAACCCCAAAAAGTTCAACTTTCTGGGATTTTTGTTGTTGCTGACATTTTATACTAGAGTTTTTCTTAAGTTTAACATTACATGATGGTCTACGACCTGCAATAAATTTATTTTGTCGCAATGCTCATATTTTGTTTTAATTTTATGGAATGATTTGAGAGATAAAAGTGCCTCTAGTTCTTGATGTTCGACCGTCTTCAGGTATATGATAATTATACTGAGCCACGTTTAAAATTGTTTATTTTTTTATATCATTAAAATAAATCATTTTTACAATATTTTTTACTACTCACTTGCGCCTCTTGTTCGTGTACATGATCATCCCTATCTTTAAGGTTAGCAGTTTTAAGATTCCTTTCGCTTTGATATCTCCGTGTTATAGTATTTCCTTTAAACATTATTATCACCGTCCTACACACACGGACTACAACGGAGACTGTCACGAAGCATCGTCACTTTAAAGACCGCGAAAAACTGACGGAGCGGGACTCTTGTTTTCATCATCCTTACTTCCTTAGCAACAGTATTCAAAAAAAATAATAATCCTATATAGCTCAGTTTTGTTAATTATCTTTTGCTTTGTTGAATTATCATGAATTATTAATTTTCAGTTTATTTTTTTTTAAATCCTTGTTGTCTTTATTTTTTCAACTTTTGTAATAAATCAATTTAACGCATTTCAAACAAAATTTCTGATTAGAAAAATTATGAAAAATACTATAATTTTAGGGATAATATTATTTTTTAAATTTAAAATAATGAAAATTGCAGAAGGTAGATCAAATCGAATTTGAACGAGTAGAGAAAATCTGTCTTAACATTGCATGCATCTGAGGTCTAATGAAAATGGTACTGGAAGTCAATCAAGAATACATGTACCTTTGTTGTTGTTCCGACACGCGAAGTCTTCTTACTTTTCTCGTTCGCCTTCATTGTTTTAGTCAGAGGCTTCTTCGAGCGCTTCGTTGCCATGTTTGTATGATGAGTTCTAGAAATTATCACGCTTAATATCCATGAATTCTAAGAGCGAAGATACTGCCATATCTCAATGATATCAAAATTAATTATGCAAAGGTAGAGGCCTTGGTTTGACTGTGTACTGGATATGATGCTGGGAGACACTGGCTTAGCGAATCATAGAGTTCTCTTTTATTCATAGAGTACTCTTTTATTTAGCTACTTTTTTCTAAATATTTCATTAACTAGCTGACTTTGTCGTCATAGTTCTCTTATGCCTCAGTAACTAATCATCTAAACTTTGTGGATTATAGTGAAGCGACAACTTTTGTGTATTTCAAACCTTAGTTTCGGCAAGAGAAATGCTTTCAAATTGGAAGTTTTTTCCCGTGATACTCATGCATTAAATATATGATAGTACAAGTTTTTCGATATAGTATTTTTTACACTACAACATGATAAAGCTTTAAAAACCTGACATAGTCACGTAAGGAACTGCAAAACACTACAAAATGACCTTAAATCTTCGTCTGTTGGGACGCCTTTCTTTAATAGGTTTACGAGTACGTAGTTGATATGGAGATGTAGCTTGAAATCTGCTCTGTTAATGTGTCACTTTAAGGACATACGCAACGTACCTTACCTACTGATACTTTTTCGAGATATTCTTAATTTAAGATTATAGTGCTATCAGATGTTCGTAGACAAAATATCAGCATGCATTACCAGGGGTTTTGAAAAGATATCAATTGATGAAAATTCTTGTATAATTCAAAGAAAAATATACAAAAATTACTAAACATATATTCTAGATGTTTTGTTTATCCAAACTTGTTTTAGAAGAAGTGTACAATAACATATATAGACATTAAAATTTAGCACACAGTTCCTTTAAGTATTGGAACTCTTCAACTCCAAGGAAAAAGACAATAAAGTTCAAACTATGTTGCGTATGTCCTTAAAGTTTGATCAGGGGAAGAGGAAGCATTGTGACAAGATCAAGAGCAAGACTAAATTTACATACCCTTGTTTGGTGTGATATTTAAACTGTTTGCACGTAATTATTTGTAGAATTTTTAAATATGCTAAAAAAGAAAATGGTCATCTGTTACAATGTAACCGTAACAGAATACTGAGAAAATGCATAATTTTGTGGAGTTTCCATTTTGACTTATTCAATACGACAGGATGTGAATTTTTTTTAAAATGCGTACTTGAGTTTCCACCAAGGCTACTTACAAGGGAATATCCCATCTTTAGGTTTCTGCAAGGATTTTCTTAATCGAACAATAAGACTAGCACAGTGTCTTGTATAAAGGTATCTTGAAAATTCTATCTTCATATGATATTAAAAATTTCATTTTGCCGACAAACAATGAATGTTTAATGACTTGCCATTTGAAAAAAGGATAGAGATAATTAAAAACCATCAAAGCATTTTATGAATGGACGCAGATTGACACACTATAAATATAAATCATTGTTTGTACGAAGAATGAAAAGGCGAACAACTCTGGTATTAAAAGCCATTCCTATCAAAAAGCCTTATAAATATGAGTCTGTTCTTAAAGTCGAAAATCTTGGAAGGTGTGTTTTTTATAAGATACATGTATGAAAAAAAGATGAGATGTTATATATATATATATATATATATATATATATATATATATATATATATATATATATATATATATATGAAATTTCAAGGTATCCTTCTGATGTGAGTTAGATAACATTAGAAATCAATTGACTTCATCTCGTATTACGAAGGTTTAAAAGATGTGATGGAAATATTGTACTCTTAGGCTATAATATTAATTCTGCTACTAAATGACAATGTAATTTGGGGGTGGGGTGGGGGTGGGGATACAGATTATATAACTTAGACCTGCATACTGTACCCTGTGTCGGTCTATAAATATGATTAGG